TTTTAAACTACTTTCTGGATATTATCACCATTCCTCTACAATCTAACAACAGCAAAATTAATAGAAAGTGAATTTAACTTAAATGCTACCAGGAGCATGTTTGCAGTGTTACAGGTATAGAAGGAGGAAAGACAATGCAGTTTAGAGTAAGTTCTATGAAGAAAGATTTGAAGCTAACAAAAGTCAGAACTTGGAAGTACTATTGATCTTCCATTAGACATTCAATAAAGAACCCAAATAGCTTACATCCTAAGGAATTGCCTAAAAAGACACAATGAGTATTTCATTATTGCAAAGTAAGCAGCTGTATTCAACTGCACTATCCAGAGGCAATATATCAGAGAGTATAAAGAACCTGGACAAATTTTCAGTCCTGTAAAAACAAGCATCAATAACAGAATACGAGTAACACCAGCACAAACAATTGGTGATTCTTTTGGCAGAAGAAATGATTCAACACAAAGATAATTTTAAGAATCTGTTCATTAAAAATAAAAGGTCAAAGAGAGAGGCAACAAGTGTTAATTTGAGATAAAAAAGAATACCTGTCTGGGAAGAAGCACTGATACAGGCAGAAGCCCAAACAAGTGGTATACTGATGAGGAGTGAAGGCAAGCGTGTTTTTTGTTTTGTGTTGTGTTGTTTTTGAGAAAGGAAAGGGAAATAACTACATGAGTAGAAGGAAGGAATTTCTATAGGTGCAAAAGTTATTCAATAGATATACATGGTGGTGCTAATTCTAAAATATGTCTTTAATTTTTAGTGGATAATCAGGATGTCTGCTTTCCTGTTAACTTTGCAAACAGTTGTTTGAAATACAATGCTGGTTTGGCCCAGTCCAAAGGTTGTTTTTCCCAGCTCAAACATTCCAAATGTTGAGTAGTAAGACATACAAAGCAGTTCCTCTGGAATGGCTACCCTAGCTCTATTTTTAAAATGGTTCCACTTATGTCAGCTTTTCATAAATTATAGTAAAATTCTAGGCAGCAATACTAAATTCACTTATTAGTAACAAGTCAAACTCACAACAAAACGAAGTTTACTTCCATGTGTTACTAATAGTGACAGATTTATTTGGAGAGTGTCAATGTCGCTGAACTTAACGGTAGTTGTTAAATGTTCATTCAGTCTTAAATACTAAAGCAATTTCTATTTGGATAATCTATATTGTCAGTGTTATAAAATCTGATGTAAAATATGTTTAAGATAGAAAATATGTTTAGCAAGAAGATAAATCCAGTAATAATCTCGTATCGCTGGACTATACCTTAGGAAAACTTGAAATAGGTGGTAAATCTGCATGTTTAGATAAATAAACCCCTTCTCTAATGACTTATCAATTAGTGACACAACTAAATATAACTAACTGGGAAACTCCTTAGCTTTTCTAAAGCTGTTTAATCCAAATGTACACATATGCACATATGCACTAATAACGAACATACAGGGTAGCAGGTTACTGAAAATGGAAGCAGATAGGTTAGACTCAAGGGCCTTATGAACATTTGTAATCATTTGCTTAGGAAGAGGCACGTCAATTTTTATTCCTATTTTAAAAGTCCCAGACTGACTTAAATCAATAGACCTGAGCTCTGGATGAAATGTTCCTCAAAACACAAGTTTTTGGACTATAGATTACATTTCAGGGAGCTTTCACATACGTAGAATAAGCAAAGGTGGAAAGATGTTTTTACATAGTAGGAGCAAAGAACTTCATATGCCTTTTGCCATATGTAAAATGTCTCATTCAGCCCTGGCCAGTGATCAGAGAGTTGGCCTTCGCATCCCAGGATCCCTATCACAATTTAAATTAATATTTTCTATAAAATAACTCCCAAATTACCCAGAGGACGAGTTTCTCCTGCAACTTTTACATAAGTTAAAAATAATCAGATGAAACAGCTTTAAACATGGTAATTTATTTTACTCAATTGTTTAAATCCATTATTTAAAAATGTTCAAAAGGCACTTTAAAAAACATATTTAAAAATACATTTCTCTGACTTATCGGTGATCACTTAAAATAAGCAAGTCACCAGACATTGTTAAACCATTCATGACACTATTACCTTACATTGTTTTTAAATTCCAAAACACAAACATTCACTGTGTAATATAGCACACTGCTTAGCAGTAAGATTAGTTTCCCTCTAATAACATACCTTATATGAATTATTAATTTGCAGGACCCTGCAAAGTTATTTAAACTGAACTGATATAAACTGAAAACTAGAGAGGTAAAGAAGTTGAAATAGAACACTAGTTTTAGGTTGGTTTCTCTATAGAGAATCGGTAAAATTTCTTAGTCTAATCTGTATTAAAATTTCTATTTCAACATAAGTAATTATATAAACATAAGTAATTTTAAAGAAAAGTTACATTTAGCATAAATTAAACCACAGGTTATGACCCAGATTTATTAAGTATGTTTCTGTCAGGCCTACTATAAAGTAGAGAAATCAGGCAAATGAGTTTTTTGGTTTGTTTTGAGAAAGGGGGGAGGTGGAATATAAATAACTTTACTTCATTTAATAATTATATATCTAGAATTAGTTTAAAATTGTAGACTTTTAAGTAGGGCAATATTCTGAGAGCCAGCAGACATTATTCTTAGACAGATTTTTACTTCTAAACTCATAGGGAAACTTAAAGTTAATAGGTATAAATTATCAATAAGCAATGCAAATTCTAATCACTAGTAACAGCTAATTAACCTTGTGAAGGCAATATTAAGAGTAGTTGGCGGGGTGGGAGGAAGAGTAGTTAGAAAATGGAGAATAGTTTTAGAAAATAAAGAAAGGGCAATCAATACAAAGCAGAAACTGTCAAAGACATAATACTCTAAACTGAAAATTTAAATGGAGAATAAAAGGACAGATTTTATCGAATCAATCAAGTGAGGGATTTTCAATCTTCAAGCTGGTAATATATAGGATGTCCCCCCCCAAAAATGTAATAATTACTAATTCCAAAAAAGTGTGTATACATTTTTTGGGGACACTGCAGTTTGAGAGGCTCAAGGAAGTGAAAAATTAACACTCAAAAACAATTATGAAAATAATCAGTTAGCAAATTAAATGCCCAAATCCAATAACCATATTTCAAAAAATATTCAAAACTGGTCAGTGACTTATTTTCTAATCTTCTTATAGTAACAAATGCTCCTCTGAAATTTAAGGTATCTAAAAACAATTAATTTAACTCTGGGACAACAATCTGCTTCGCATCATCTATGAACTTCCCAATTGAAAATACAAGCATACTGTTATGGAGAAGCCACATTAAAATCATTTATCCAAATGACAGAGATATAAGTCAGTATTATCATGAAATCTGTTTTTATGTACTTTATCAAATACTTGAATTTTTTGCTTTTTAAGGTCATGTAGGACAGTCAACTGATTCTTAAAAGTAATGAAATTTTGATAGTGTCAAAATTAGCAAAAAAAAAAAAACCCAACCCATTATGCATATTGTAAAATAGTATTTTGCTATCTCTATTTAAACATTTTTATTAACAACAGTGGGCATTTGGGATGACACTCATTTAGGATGTTTTTAATGAATTAGTACTACTTAATGAATCCTTCCTGCACTAATGTGAAATTCCTAAACTCAAAGAATTATAGATTTTACTGTGTAGGTCCTGATGTTAGTCACTCTGAAGAAGCTAAAGAATTTTGCCAAAATAAATGATCCACTGACCCTTTAAATCAGCTTTAAAGTCTTTTACATTTAATATAGTGTAATATTGGACTACACTTACTTTAAAAATGCCTTATCTAAATCTTTGAAAGATACTTTACTTACACAGTAGTCAATCCTTAGTATGTCCCAAGGATCACCTGCATCAGAATCACATAGAGCTTATTAGGTTCTCAAACTAGGATGAATAAGCCTCACCCGGAGGGCTTGTTTAAACATAACTCTAGCCTCCAGTAGGTATGAGCAAGGTCCAGGAGATGGCATTTCTAACAATTTCCCAAATGATACTGATACATTGTAGATTTAGACCACACTTTGAGAACCACAGTCTAAGGGTATCTAGTAAGAATGAAAAATAGTCCCGGGCCCCATGCTAGATTCAGAATTTCTGGGCTTGGGGTCTTGAAACTGGTGTTTTAACAAGCTCCCAGGTAAGAGTATAAAAACCACAATCTGAGAAGCATCATGACAAGTTGGTTAATTTTACTATTATTGGCCAATGTATCACATGTCAGTAAGTAAAAATGGAAAAAATGCTAAATGACTAACCTCTGGGCTGATATGGTACAAAGAACACACAGGCTTTGAGTAGAAATCCCAGCTATTACTTATTAGCTTTGTGACAGTGGAAAATGTACTTTAACTCTGAGCCTCAGTTTTCACATCCATAATATGGGAATAGCATCCAATTTGTGAGGATTAACACTAATGTACAAAGAGTATCTAAGCACAGTAATTGGCATATAATATGCATCAGATAAAAACTAGCTATTACTTATAAGAAATGAATAAAATATTTCCTTCAATATCTGATTTGATTAAAGCAATTTTTCATTCATTTGAAACAAATATTTACACTCCAAGTTAACAGACTAAAACCTTATATTTATTGCTTCATACTCTGGGCCAGACAGTATTCTAAAAGCCATACATATATTCACTCATTTAATCCTCATAAAATTCCTGTGAGGTAGGTAGTGTTATTGTCCCTAATTTACAGATGAGGAAATTGAGGCACAGAGAGATTAAGGAAATTGCTCAAGGTTACAAAACTAGTAAGTGATGAAGCAAGAATTTAAACCCAGGTAGTCTAACTCAGGACCCCAGGATTTATCACAATGTTCATTTCCTTTGAGTAAATTTTAAGGTTTTTGGATGTTTATAATAAACTATTTATACTTCTAGTACAGAAAAGTAGCAAATATGGACTCAGATAAATTCATATCCACACCAAAGTGAAGAGCTGTTCAAGAACAGAGTGAATGCCTTAAAATTTTGGCAGATGACCATCATGAAAACAATAAAAAACAATTTAATAGGTAAAAATTGGTGTGAGTTTTCACTACATAGACATAGTATCCATAATTGGCCACTAAGATGAACATTCTCTCAAATATACCATCTAAAGAGGTCATAGTTTTGGCATGTTTTGGCACAATAAATATAAACTATTTAGCAAAACAGCAGAGTCAATGGTGTGACAGCCATGTGAAATTAGCATGATAAACATAAGAGAAATATAAATCAGTTGTACCATTTATGATAATCTTACAGAAAGTCTGTAAAATATTGTTATGATACACTCAGGTAATATGCTAAAGATAACAAAAACCCATTTTTTTTTTCCCTTCCAGAAACTCTTTAAATAGAGGGTCACTAAAATAAGAACAAAATATTCATGAATGTGTTTTTGATGACAGTCTTGAATGGGTATTCTGCTCAACTGGAATTATCTATCGGCAATACAATCATCCCCAAATAGAGGATGGGACAAAATAGCATTTATTCTTGTATTATTTATTAATTATTGTATTATTTTCTATATGAACACCTGTATACCTACTTTTGCCCCACCCTGTACATAAATCAGCATCAAATTTAGATATTATTCATAAAATAAGTATTTCGTCTTTTACTACCTGACATATTTCAGCTTGTTTAAGCATTGTGCATTTTCTAATGTTTTTAATTAACTCTGGTCAAAATCTTGCATTCAAATTATTTTGCCAGTGTAATTAATAACCACCTTAGATCCTAAAAATGAATTTTAAAACGGCTTTAAAGAAGTTATGAAAGGCACAAAACAAGTTCTTATCTCTCAACAGGATAAGAATGAAAAAAACTATAATTATGTAGTTGGAAAGAGTTTTAAATGATCAATTAAAAGTGTAGCTTAGTAATTCCTGAGTGGCAGTGATATCAAAAAACATTCCCCAAGCAGCATTAAAGTTACTATTTATTAGTTACCCATAATTAACAATGGGTAAATATGGGAACAAAATATTTAATCAAATGCTTTAAAGCTTTGAGTAAATATTAATAGTTGAAAATGGTATCCAAGAATGGTTAAACATATTTAGAAGAGACAATGGCGACTCAGCATAGTACCTTAGATATATTGCGGTTTCAGTTCCAGACCACCACGATAAAGTGTCGCAATAAAGCGAGTCGTTATCTTTTTTTTTTCTTGAGGAGAGAAAATTTTTTCTTGCCTTGGAAAAGGCGCAACATCTGTGAAGCACATAAAGCAATAAAACGAGGTATGCCTATACGGTTAACTATTAATTAGAACCAAGTATATATATATATTATAATCAAGGTCCATGATCATTTCAAAATGTGGTTTTATTAATGCGCATTAGGATGAGTGCCATTCTTATTCTACCTTCTTCTTCTGAAATATTGCCAATTTTAAATAGTCACAGCAAAATTTAGATTAGCCAAAACTACACACGGGTATGTATTGGGAGAGGAGGGGTTCATTTATACCATACTGTGAATATAAATTCATGTCTTGAGTTTATAAACAACACTGAACAACAATACTTCCTTCTAAAATTTTAAGGCAGATCTGTTTAGCATCATGTGTGTGTTGTTAATATGGTACAGTGTAGTTTTAGCAACTGTTTTAACTTCCTAGTGAAAATAATACATGTGGTCAGAAACAGGCAACAAAATCTTTTTAGCCCCTCTGCCTTACCAACATTATAAAAACACAAGTTTTTCATATATATATATATTACTGTATCAAAACACATTTTAACAGACTTCACAGCTTATTAAAGCTTCAGTTTATAGGCATTCATATGAAAGATTTCTAATACGGAATGTTCGTTTAGAATTCTTCACTGGGCTTCCAGTGTTCTATATCAGAAATGCAGAAGTTCTTCTTCAGTGCAATGTTAGACATTTTACCTCTGTTCATTAATGCTTTTCTTTCAAGGTTTCCCAAATTTTACTTTGGATCTTCATTTTTGTATGCTTGACTTATTTCCTTCCGTATATTTTCAGGTAAGGCAGGTTGATATCTGTATAAATATCCATATGGACGAAGATGATAAACGAGGTATTCTAACTCATACATGGTTGTAGGATCAACATAGTGAAAAGAAACTGCAAGATCAGAACAGCAACCAGGACCCTAAAAAAGTAAAGGAAACAGACATTATTAAATAAGTAGCACATTGTTAAAATACAGTACACACAAAGTGATAAAGGAAACACTAATTTTAATAGAATCCAATAATTAAAGCTGGCAAGGTTTAAAGAGGCATCTCATTTATTACTGGAAGAAAGGATTTTTTAAAGTTCCTAATGATTTAAAACCAAATATGAAATTGCTAAAGCATTTTAAATTGAAATAATATTCTCTTACTCTATAGTTTTTCAGCAGAAAAAAAATCCTGAGACTTTTTTTTTTTAATTTTTTAAAAACATCTTTATTTTTTTTAATTTTTTTTTAAATTTTACTGTTTTTTTTTGTTTTGTTTTTTTTATTAGTTAAGGTATTACAAATGTGTCCTCATCCTCCCCATTAATCCCCAACCTCCCCCCTACACACACTCTCATGCTCCCATCCCCCTGTTGTCCATGTCCATTGGTTTGGCTTATATACATGTATACAAGTCCTTCGGTTGATCTCTTCCCCTTACCCCCGCCCTCCCCTACTTTCCTTCTGGGGATCTGAGACTTTTTTCAATACAAAGGATAAAGCTCTATTTCTTCAAGTTTTGCTTTCTCTTCATAATTTTCTCACTATCAATTTTCGTTTGGCTGAGCTCCAGAAAGGTGCCTTCAGAACATTCAGTAACTAGAAAGCCTTGCCTATTATGTGTCTGCAATCTAATACTTCATCTACACATTAACCCAAATAGTAGGAGAGGAAGTTTTGAGTCAAACCTAGGTTTGAATCCAAATTTTGCCTACTGGTGTATGACATTGGCAAGTTATTAAATCTTTATAAGCATCAATTTCCCCATCTGCAAAAGATGGTTAAAGGAGATAATGTGCATGAAATGCTTAGGACTATGCTTTGCCTATAATATATGCTCAATAAATATATGCTCAGCTATTATTGATAGAACAATCACATTCAGGTGGCCCTCAGTAAGTCAGAGTTTAAACCTTCATTCACACTTACGTAATTCTCATACATTCCTAATACAGTTGGTATGAGAACAAGTTTAAAACAAAACAAAATAAAAATACAACAAACAAGAATGAAAACACATAAAAATATAGAAAACTGGAAAAAAAACCAAAAAAAAACCTGGTCATAGAATTAAACAATCACAGGTCACTTGGGGATCAGAACTGGTATCTGGAGAATGTTTCTGGTGACTCCAACAAAATTGGGATCCTATCTAATGTCTTTGCAAGGACCCAAGAAGAAAGACAGTCTGGTAAGTTACCACAGAAGATTCATATTGACCTACTAAATTGAACATTTAATAATTTATGTTTGGAAGTATGCAGCTTACAATGCTTAAAAATTATCAAGAAATTATTCATTGTATTTTCTCTGGCCTGATTCTCAACTTTTCCTTTGAAATACTGTGAAATCTTGGACAACTATGAAGGCACTGAAATATTATCTGGTGCCTACTTTTTAAAGCTTGAGGGAACATAATAGAAACAAATATGAAAAGTAAACTGTAAGTCAACTTGTGATTACCTCTGTACAATAAGTATATATGAACCACATACTGTAGTTTAATATTTTCTAATAGCCACATTTAAAAAGTAAAAGTAGGTGAAATTAATTTAATGTAATTTAATCTTACTGAATAAATCCATATTATTTTTTAAAATATTTTTTAATATTTTTTAAATTATTAATGAAATCATTCTTTTCAGTTGTGCTAATACCTTGAAATCAGTTATTAATTTTATAATTAAAGCACATCTCAATGTGGACTTGTCACATTTCAAGCGCTCAATGGTTTAATGTTAGTGGCTATATGCTGGCCAGTATATACTGAACTGAAACACCAGAACAATAGTAGTTAGTTTTAAATTGCTGATCCTCTATGGAAGCAATTTTATTTGACTCTGAAATATTGTAATAATATTTTTACAAGATTTACTGCATTAATTATGTTACACTCTATTGTATTATTGCTTTTTAATGGATGGTCAGGATACTGTTATTATAAAGCACTATAAGCAACAAAATATAATAAAACAGCCATAATTATTAAAAATAAAAAAGTTCTTTGCATATTATTATGGTTATTTAAAAAACTCGAGTGTCAAGTGAAAAATCATCCAAAATAAGGAATCTAAGAACAGAGCCAGATTTTAAAGATGCTTTAAAAAACCAAAAGCTTTCATATATATAGGCTAAGAAGTTTTAAGGAAGAGTCTAAGTAGAATAGTAACAAAAATATTAGATACCTAGGGAAATACTTAAGAAGGAATAAAATTCTGAAGAAAACTATAAAACTTCACTAGGGGACCTAAAAGGCAAACTAAAAAATCCTGGGCAATTATGTCCACTGTCCTTAAATTAATAAATTTATACTCAAGGAAAAAAACGTAAGAGTTGCCAGAACAGTCTTAGATTAATAACTTAAATATTTCGTAAAGCTACAAGGTTATAAACATATGGTGCTGAGCCAAACCAAATAGAACAATGGAACAGAACTTGAAATTCAGACACTGATCCTACACTATACCACAGTGTATGATAAAGGAGGTATTTTAAATCAGTAATAAAAAAATGGTATTGAAATAATTAGTTAATTTTTTAAAAAATCAGGAGCTCTCTACCTCATCATATGCTAGTAAGTTTCAGATGAATTAGTTAATGTAAATAAAACTGACAAAATAATAGAATAAGTCATATTTAATCATTTCTGACCTATGAAAGAGGCAATTAATTTCACATGTAGGAAATATTTATATATATAGGCAAAAGTAGGTTTACAGCTGTTCATAGCCTATATAATAAAAGAGAAACATGCAAATTAACCATCCCTCTGCTTTGCTCAAGCCACACCCACAAGCCAATCAAGAGCAAGTATGCAAATTAACCCAACTAAGATGGCAGTGGCCACGGAGCTGGAGCCAGCAGGAGGCTTGGGTTGCCCCCAGCGATGGAGGAAGCCAAGCTTCCCACCTGCCCTGGCCAGCCCTTGGCTCTGCTCAAGGCTACAAAGTTTCAATTACAGAAGATAAATAAATCCCAGGGGAAAAAAAGAAAGAAAAAAGGAGAGGCTGGGAGCTTGGGTCGCTGGAGGGCTTGGCTAGCCTGAAAACGACCATCAGCCCCTCACCCAGGCTGGCCAGGCACCCCAGCAGGACTTCCCCACCCTGAAGGGGCTGTGGGCAGCCTGAAAACAGCCCTCAGCCCCTCACCCAGGCTGGCCATACCCCCATGGGGTGAGGGTCCCCGCTGGGGGGCTTGGCCAGCCTGCAAACAGCCATCAGCCCCTCACCCAGGCTGGCTAGGCACCCCAGCAGGACCCCCACCCATGCACCAGGCCTCTATCCTACATAATAAAAGGGTAATGTGCAAATTGACCCTAACAGCAGAAAGACTGGGAATGACTGGTCACTATGACACATACTGACCACCAGGGGGCAGACGCTCAATGCAGGAGCTGCCTTCTGGTGGTCAGTGCACTCCCACAGGGGCAGCTCTGCTCAGCCACAAGCCAGGCTGGCAGCTGCCAGCACAGCGGTGGTGGCGGGAGCCTCTCCTGCCTCCTCAGCAGCACTAAGGATGTCCGACTGCAGCTTAGGCCTGCTGCCCCCTGGCAAGTGGACATCCCCCAAGGGCTGCCAGGCTGCCAGAGGGATGTCTGACTGCCAGCTTAGGCCCAATCCCCCTGGGGAGTGGGCCTAAGCCAGCAGGTGAACATCCCCCAAGGGGCCCCAGACTGCGAGAGGGCACAGGCCGGGCTGAGGGACTCCCCCCTCCCCCGAGTGCACAAATTTTTGTGCACCAGGCCTCTAGTGGAAAAATAAAATAATACAAGGATAAATTGTTTCAGATACTCTAAACTGTAAACCTATTTTTGCCTACCCCTTTTGTGTGTGTGTGTGTGTGTGTGTATTTACATATAAATATAAATATACACACACATCTATTTTAAATCCACTGTATTATGACTGCAAATTCTCTGGTGACAAGTCTATTTCTAGAGAACAGGCTCACTTGTAGGGAATTAAGAAGGTGGAATGAGAAGGGAACTGTATGAAAAGTAAAGTTCTGAACAACCAACTTAAGACCATAAACTCCGATCAACTAGAATATTTTACACTCTCACTTGCTATATAAAATTTTTCTACACTGTATTTTTAGTGATTACTAAAGAGAATGTATGTATGATATTTAGGATGGCTTTAAAATAGTAAATCAGGGAGAAAAAGTAATAAATAATGGATGAGTACTAGAAGTTTGATTTCACATTGGGTTTATATAGAATCTAAGAGAGAAGAGGCAACATTGGAAGTCTGGCACTCCCAAATCTATTTTATAGTTTTCAATATAACTGAATAAATTTTTACATAAAAAACTAGTTTTTGCCATCCATTTTAAAAATGACTACAATTTAAATAAAAGGTGCACTATAAGCCCTGGCCAGGTGGCTCGGCTGGAGCATCGCTCTGTACACCAAAAGGTTGCAGGTTTGATTACTGGTTAGGATACCTAAACTTCAGGTTGCTCTGGATGGAAAACAAACAAAAAAGCCCCCTGTCAAGAACTACTATTTTGGTGATGATTTGAAAGTGCTGGCCTTTCTTGTGGACTGAAGGGTCCTGGGTTTGATTTCAGTCAAGGTCATATACCTCAGTTGCAGGCTCCTTCTGGGCCCAGGCCCTGGTCAAGGTTCATGCAATAGGCAACCAATCAATGTGTCTCTCACACTGATAGTTCTATCTGTCTTTCCCTCTCTCTAAAAATCAATGAAAAAAATATCCTCAGGCGAGGATTAAAAGAAAAGTTCTAGTCTGTGAAGAGAATGATGGCATGACGTATCTTATTTTTATCATAGGGCCAGAGAAAAGAAGACACAGGATTCTAGTAACTTGCCTAGAGGTATTATCAATTAACTAGAGGCCTGGCCTGCGTCCTCTCACAATGTGGGACCCCTTGGGGGATGTCGGACTACTGGTTTCGGCCCTGAGGGACGTAAAAGTGTGCGAAGCAGCAGGCGGCTGGGGTGCTGCTCCCACTCATCCTGGCCCTGCTGAGCCTGCTGCCGCTCGGTGGCACTGCTGCAGAGGCGGGAGAGGTTCGCGCTGCTGCAGCTATGTTCGCCATCTGTGAGCCTGGCGTCTGGTGTCCATTGGTCAGCTAAGCAGTGCTCCCACTGTGGGGTGCACTGACCACCAGGAGGCAGCTCCTGCATTGAGTATCTGTACCCCTGGTGGTCAGTGCACATCATAGCTATGGGCTGGTTGTCCGGTCATCCAGTTGCTTAGGCTTTTATATACATAGACCAGAGGCCTGGTGCACGAATTTGTGCACCAGTGGGGTCCCTCGGTCTGACCTGCGGGATTGGGCCAAAACCGGCTCTCAGACATCCCCCAAGAGGTCCCAGACTGCAAGAGGGCGCAGGCCACCGGTGCATGATCGGGGCCGGAGAGGGACCGCAGGAGGGCTCCAGGGTGTGTCTGGCCCATCTTGCTCAGTCCCGATTGACTGGACCCCCCCAGCAAGCTAACCTACCAGTCGGAGCATCTGCCCCTGGTGGTCCATGCATGTCATAGTGACTGGTTGATCCCGTCAACTGTCTGTTACCTGGTGGTCAGTGGACGTCATAGCGAGCAGTTGAGCGGCCTTAGCATATGATTAGCCTATTATGCTCTGACTGAACGGCCGACCAGTGACCAGGCACTTAGCATATTAGGCTTTTATTATATAGGATAGATAACAGAACTGAGTATAAAAGCTGGGTTTTGTGATGCCTGGACTCTTTCAGTCATTCACTGCTGTAATTGGTCATAATAGTGAAAACCCAGCAACAGTCTATTAAATGTTCACATGCAGGAGAATGGATAAATTACAGTACATTCATATATTAGATTATTACACAGAAGTCTAAATTAGTAAAGCAGATACATAGATTAATGTTAAGTTTTACTATATGATATAATTCCATTTATTTAAAAATCTGTAAAATAATACTATGTATTATTTATGGACACATAAACATGTAGGAAAAATATGAAAACAAGTCTGGCAATGATAAATATTAAATTCATGATATTATTTGAAGAAGGAGGTAGGAGAAATGGATTTGGGAGGATACACAGGCCTCAACTCTATCTATAACCTTTTTCTTTTAAAAAAATCTGAAGCAAATATAGCAAAAGATTAATATTTGGTAAACCTGGTTTGTTGGTACAAGACATTGTACTTTTCTCAAATATTTGTACATCTGAAAAATTTAATAAAATAATGTAATTTAAAATTCTCAAGAATTTATAAATTAAGGTGTCAAATGAGAGCTAAGACTTATTAGGTACTTACTGTGTGATAGACACTGCACTGTAATTACAACTAGATGAGAAAGGTAGATTATATCCATTTTACAAATGAGAAAAATGATGCTAGGAAGTTAGACAAATTCTGTCCATACCAGGTCATTCAACCATTAAGTGGGAGAGCATTCAACTATTAAGTAGGTCTTTCTGAACCTCAGAGTCTTTTGATGTATTGTTTCTTAACCACCCAAAACTAGAGTAACCCGACTCTACTCTGAGTCACTCTGCATCCCCTTGCATGGCTTTTTCTTCAGGACACTAACCACAACCTAGAATCACATTATATCTTAATTAGTCTGTGTGTTTATTGTATGTCTCCTCATCTAGAATTAACATAAAGTTAATGAGAACTGGAACATGGCCATATTTATTGCTATAGTCCCAGTGCCTGGCATATAGTAGTACTAATATTTGTTGAATGACTGAGTATTGCTGACACTCATATTGTTATTTACTGTGTTATACTGTCACTCTAGATAAAAAGACTAAAGGAGTTCTCAGTGTTACTAAAGAAACATACACATATTAGTTGGGTTTTTATAAAGTAAGCAAAAGTCAGCCTAAGTATTTATATTGTAATAAAATCTCTAAACTTACCTCTACAGGAGGGTAATAGTTATAATTCCAGTACCAAAATGTTTTAGGTAGATAACCCTTGATTAAGTGGTGCTCTGGTACAAAGGGATGAAAAGTTTCTTTTCCAATGGTATCTCTGGAATCTCCCGCTTCTACATTTATAATTTCCATGCATCTTCCCAGTGCTAAATCTTCAATGGAGGAACTATGTGTACATTTCTCTGTTTTAAACGCATCAACAAATCTCTTCAAGGCTTCTTTGCTCAGTACATATCCTGCTCCTCCACTCATGTAGCCCTGCTTAACATAGGGCTTAAATCTTCTCCCAAAGTAAATGGGTTCTTCAGGGCTGTGTTTTGAGAGAAGCCATCTCAAATTGTCTAGTATAACATATGTATCGTCATCGGCTTTCATAAACCAATCAGCATCTTCTAGATAGTGATCATGAACATACTGAAAAGCTTTAATTGTTTTCCAGTATAGCTGGTCTCTGCCTTCTCTGGTTTCTAATCCCACAGCAGGGAAGTCTTTGTTTTCTTCTGAACTCATAAACAACACTTTATTACAGCGCTGGGCCCATGTAGCTTTGACATGTTTAGCCTTTTTCTCTAGATTTTGAGGTCCTGTCATAACCCAGCAAAGAATTTTAACCTTCTGATAGAGGTTTTCAGCGATGTCAGTGTTCTCATCTATTAAACAGAAAATTTCAAAGTTTCATTTACATATAATGTGAAATCCAAATAATGTTGAAGAAGACATTTTCTTAAACAGTATCAAAGAACCACCCTACCCCCGTCCCTGTTTCTATTTACCTAGCTACCATTAGTGATTTAACTGAAAGAAAACAAAACTCAACCTAATATGAACTGTCATTCTGATCTATTGGTTTCATGTCAATCTTATCCAGGAGATCAGTGGAGCTAACAAGAGTTGTCACTATGATTTCAAATTTTCAATAAATTTTCATTGCTCTGAATAAACTCTGAAAGGCAGGAAAGACATGCTGCTGAAGTGGCAGTTTACTTTGAAGCTCACAAGAGTCCACTGTTATGAATTTCTATAAATACCCTAACGTGGCTTTTAAAAAAAAGTTTTCCTAACTACCCTAGTTCCATGAAGAGGCATTAATACAGAGTTGAGATTACTTCCAATAGTACTATATCTCATTTCAAAATGCAAAACCACCAGTCAGAAAAAGAACATATGAATAGGAAGAGGTAGTATTTCCAGGATCATCTAGAGTAGTGTTTTTCAAAGTATGGGTTTGCAAAGAAATGTGTAAGGAGCATATGCCAGAATATAAAGCAGCATATTAATTTTTTCATTGAAGAAGTTTTGCTTCTCCCTCCACTTCTAAAAAAGTCCTAAGCAGTGAGCTGAAATGATTTATATCCTGGTGCAAGCTCCTTATCTGGATGCAGGTAAGTAACATACAATTCACTGGCTGTCATGTCAAAACCACATTTTTAGTAGCAATATGCAGAGGAAGAGTTCAACTATAAGATTCTAAATCAGTGCTTTGTGAAGGACCAATTTTTATATACAATAATTTGAGATCTATACTTTTACAAACATGCTAAAAATGAAATACTGAAAAATAAAAATTAAAAATCATATATAAAATCCAAGACCCAGTAAGTTTTTATATTTAGATTTAGACAAAATTATTGTCAAATTACCATAAAATGTCTTTTAATCGTGATTTCAATACTTCTTTAGTTGTGGACCAGCATGAGTTTGCAAAACCACACTTGTATAGCAATGCTCTAGGCATAATCCTCAGAAAGCACACCCTTAAAGTTAAGGTCAACCAGTGAGTTAAGAAGGCTAACACCTGTGAAAAAGTAACAACTACAAACATAAATTTCTAGGTGACTGATTGAGAGGGAATAGAAGGCAAGGTTGGGAAAGGACATGAAAATATACTTATGCCCACTAAATAGCAAGAATTCACAATCTAAAAATGGACAAAATCACCCTATTTTCAATCAGAGAAAGTTCATGGTTCTTATACTTGGGAGCCCAATTTCCTAGCTATATAGACATACCAAATCCTAAATGGAAAGGGAAGATGATGGTGGAGGCAGGAATCTGCAATATGTTTCACTAAGAGCAAGAGAACTTTCTCTCCACTGTTGGTAGATATTTTTTCTCATTCTTTCAATTACTCACTCATTAATTACTTTGTAGTAAGCATGTACTAGCACAGGAGATAACAGGATGAATAAGATACATTTGCAAACCAATACTTGCCACGTACTAAGAGATGCTATAATTTCTGAGGTATGTACAAAGGGTTTGATGTGCTGTGGAAAAAGAAAGCAGTGGCTGGCAAATCCTATGGAGCAGTGCAATGGGAAGTTGGCTAGAACAAAGAAGCTGGGATAAAGCACTATCAGCAAAAATCAGAAATAATGCAGAAAGTACATCTTTAAATGAGTAGATGCTCACCAAAAGAAAGGAAAAAAAGCATGGTGAAGTTTGGTTGAGTGCAGGTAGATGGGTATAACTCGAGGCCTGATCAGGGGAAGATTGAGAAGAAATCTGAAAAATGGTAAAGAAAGTGAACTGCTAGATTTAAGTGACAAATGTGATTGACTGGTAAGCAAAGCAAAGCATCTACCATGACTGCGACGTTTCTGACTTGGGCAGATGGTAGTAAGATATATAAAATATGGGATACAGAAGTTAAAGTTTCAGAAGTAGGAAAGTAAAGGAGTTCATTTGCATGTTAAATTTGAGAGGAACAGAACTTTTAGCATACCCTACATTTTATGGGCCTTGGAGGAGGACAAGTTAGGTACCTAATATATGTGCCTGCAGTAAGGTCAACCTAGCACAGCTTACTAGTAGTAGAGGAGCCTCAATCCAATTGATCATTTCAAGACTTAGAGCAATGCTACAGAGCAAATGCACAGTGATTAAACTGCTATACAATAAGTATACCTGCTCAGAGCTGAATCACTGTTATATAAACATTCACACAACATAAAATAAGTTGTAATGTACTTGCTAGTTCACAAAACTCAACCAAGATCTGACACCTTGCCCTACAACCACCACTTGAGAGGTAGGAAAGAAATAATTTACTGCCAGAAAGATAACAGAAACAACTGTTAATGAGGACCCTCTGCATCCTAGAATTCTAATTGTTTTCAAGCTGGTTGCATTTTTTTCTGTCAAATAAACCACAAATTTTGCAGCGATCTTTGAATTATGTTAATGCCTTTTTATAGTGTCCAGAAGTGGGTTAAAGATAAAGACAATAGCCCTAGCCGGTTTGGCTCAGTAGATAAAGTGTTGGCCTTCGGACTGAAGGGTGCTGAGTTCGATCCTGGTCAAGGGCACATGCCCAGGTTGCGGGCTCGATCCCCAGTGGGGGGCGAGCAGGAGGCAGCCAATCAATGATTCTCTCTCACTGAATGTTTCTGTCTCTCTCCCTCTCCCTTCCTCTCTGAAATCAATAATATATATATATATATATATATATATATATATATATATAATTTTGTTTTTAAAGATAAAGACAATAAGTGAGAGATGGGAATTAAAACTATGGGGGTTGATGACAGCACACAGGCAAAGAAGAGCCAAAGAGACTTGGAGAAAGCCTACATTTAACGGGCACACAGAGGGCTCAATTGAGAAAACCTAGTTAGAGATATGAGGCAAGGAGAAAATGAAGTCATTATAACACCCTTAGTTTTTTAATTCCCTAGTTCTTCATGCTTCTAAAAAGGAAAAAAGATAAGTGATATTAACTATTTATAAAATTATAAATTAAAATTTATGTATACCTCTTGTGTTTCTCTAAGAAAACACAACTAAGCAAAAACAAAGACCAAAACAAGATGAGAGCAAAAAACAAAGATGCAGATATAAACCATTATAACACAATCAGACTAACTAAAAATTTTCAGAAATAAATCTAGACTTAAAAGTTTTGCCTTTTGCCAAATTACAGTTTCTGAACTATTTCTACTAAAAAATAAATTCAAAATTAATATTTTACTACCTAAGTTCGTCTGGCAATTTCCTTCTTGTGAGGCAAACCGAGAATTGTCATTTAACATCTAAAATTAAGATCACTTTTATCAAAAGATATACTGTGATGTAACAAAATTCATATAACTCTTTGCAATTCTTTCAATACTTACATAGACTGAAAAATACTCTTTAATACTGAAAAATACTCCCTAATAAAGTAATCCATACCTTTATGTTGACTAGCATCTGCATTGAAGTTCATCTGTCCTTCTAGATGATTCTGTCCATTATCATCTGAATGCCTAGCATGAGGATCATTATGAAGAATCTTAGGTTGGGTGTCACCCTGTTCTCCCAACAAAATACTAAATAGCTGAGAACATAAAACAAATCCAACTGCTGATCCACAGAGGAAGATTAAAAAATTCAGCCAAGTTTTAGAGGCCATTTCCCAAAAGTGTATGTCTGTAAGAAAAAAAATTAATAGGATGTTATTATAAACTATAGAGCATTATACATACCAAAAGCAAAAAGTCTGATAACTTTTAGCTACACTGGAAAGTTAGTTCCTTTCATATAAGAGAACATATCTAAGAATATTTAACTTTTACCTATGCACAGGAGATAAAAGGATGAATTTACTGCTAAAACAGCACATTATGGACAAGTCAAAAAATGAATAATCATTGTTGAGATGGGACATGGGTAAATACGAGTATGGGAAAATATGATTCAATCAAAATCATTTGAGGAACATTTTAAAAATACAGATTTCCTGGCTCAACAACTGAAATTTCAGATGCAAAGTGCTGAGACAACTAAAATTTATATTTTTACTTTATTTTTTAAGGAAAAGGTTTGTATTATTCTTTGTTTAAAAAAACAACAAAAAAAATAAGCAAGCAATAAAGCACTGCATGAAGAAAGAATCCCTCTAAATCCTAAAAATAACTTTTGATGAATATCATTAGAGATGAATAACATCCTATCTAATAATAGACAAACATGGTAATAGACCGTACCTTCACTACACCTCCCACTGGCTAATCAGCGTGATATGCAAATTAACCCAACCAAGATGGCAGCCGGCAGCCACGCAGCTGAAGTGATCAGGAGGCTTGCTTGCTCCAGTGATGGAGGAAGCCAAGGTTCCCTGTCTTCTGTGGCCCGGCTCTGAGCTTCGAAAGCAACAAAGTTTCAATTACAGAAGCTAAACAAACCCCATATACCTGCTTTTAGCAGGCTGTGGCCTCAGAGCTGGAGCGAGCAGAAGCTGGCTCTCAGCTCCAGTGACGGCAACAAAGTTTCAATTATAGAAGGTAAATAAGTCCCAGAATAAAAACAAAAGAAAAAAAGGAGAGGCTGGGAGCTTCAGTCGCCAGACAGCCTGAAAACTGCCCTCAGCCCCTCACCCAGACTGGCCAGGCACCCCAGTGGGGACCCCCACCCTGAAGGGGGTGTGGCCAGCCTGAAAACAGCCATCAGCCCCTCACCCAGGCTGGCCAGGTACCCAAGAGGGACCCCAACCCTGATCCGGGACACCATTCAGGGCAAACCAGCTGGCCCCCACCCATGCACCAGGCCTCTATCCTATATAGTAAAAGGGTACTATGCAAACTGACCCTAACAGCAGAAAGACTGGGAATGACTGGTCACTATGACACATACTGACCACCAGGGGGCAGACGCTCAATGCAGGAGCTGCCCTCTGGTGGTCAGTGCGCTCCCACATGGGGGAGCTCTGCTCAGCCACAAGCCAGGCTGATGGCTGCCAGCACAGTGGTGGTGGTGGGAGCCTCTCCTGCCTCCTCAGCAGCACTAAGGATGTCCGACTGCAGCTTAGGTCTGCTCCCCGCTGGCAAGTGGACATCCCCCGTGGGCTGCCGGGCTGCCAGAGGGATGTCTGATTGCCATCTTAGGCCCAATCCCCCGGGGAGCAGGCCTAAGCCAGCAGGTGAACATCCCCTGAGAGTTCCCGGACTGTGAGAGGGGGCAGGCTGGGCTGAGGGACACCCCCCTCCAGTGCATGAATTTTCATGCACCAGGCCTCTAGTCCTATATAATAAAAGCCTAATATGCAAATTGTCCCCTTGACTAGGAGTTGGACTACTCACTATGACATGCACTGACCACCAGGGGGTGGCACAGAACATGGCGGGCATTGGCAACACAGCATTGGAGGTGCTGCTGGCCCCGATGGGCTCCAACGAGAGTGGGGCCGTGGTGGGCTGGTGGAGCAGGTAAGCTGGCAGCACCAGGCCAGGGCAGGACCCACAGATGGCGACCAGTAACAGTGGCAGGGTGCGGGGCTCTAAGGTTCTGAGAGAGTCGAGGGGGAAAGGGGCTGGCCCCAACCCATTGCCTGCAGATGGCAACCAGTGTCTGGCAGGCCCTGATTACCCAATTGGGGCTGGGCCCTGGGCTGGGACAGGGAACTGGGAGTAGGTGGCGGACCAACCTCCTGCAGCGCCCGGGCAGAGGCTGCAACCTCTTGCTGGCTACCTGAAGGTGGGGGTGACGGGGATAGAGGTGCAGTGAGAATGTGCTGAGCTCTCACTCCTCCTGCTACCCTCTTCCAGAAAACCAGGGCTCGTGTGCCAGGGAAGACCCTGTGCTCAGGTGCCAGGTGCCCACGAGGAGCTCACCCCACACCCACGCAGCCTCTTCCGGGTGAGCTGGGCCGCAGCCGCTGGGACCACAGGGGCTGGTAGGGCTCCCTGTGGGTTTGCGCAGGAGCCAGTCTGTGAGGCCAGCTGGGAGAGAGCGTGCTGCCCGCCCGGCTTTGGTGTGGCACCGCTCGGCAGCCCAGAGGCCCACGCTGCGTCCCGACCCGTGGTGTCTGGCTGCGCTCACTGCATTTCCACATGGGGACTCGGGTGCCGTGACTCAGGTGGAGGGGGCCATGCAGGGGTCTAGGTACTGCCCAGGGCTCAGAGGTCAGCTGGGACCTGCCCTTCCACACCAGATGCTCACACTTTGATCGCCAGCCAGGCCTAGGGATCACACCCGTGCAACGAATTTCGTGCACCAGGCCTCTAGTCTTTATGAATAACAGAGACAGAGATAGAAGGAGGGATAATTATAGCTAACATTTGATTCTTGTACTAAGAGCTTTACATGGATTACCTTAAACCAGTGGTCAGCAAACTGTGGCTCGCGAGCCACATGCAGCTTTTTGGCCCCTTCAGTGTGGCTCTTCCACAAAATACCACGTGCGGGTGTGCATTGAAACTTTGTGGCCCATGCGCAGAAGTCAGTATTTTGTGGAAGAGCCACACTCAAGGAGCCAAAGAGCCACATGTGGCTCGCGAGCCGCAGTTTGCCGACCACTGCCTTAAACCATAAACTAAAGACCACTGATCCCATTTCATAGATGAATTCAGACAGAGAGGTTAGTAACCTTTCCAGGATCACATTAGCAATCTAAATCAAGAGTTCAGACTCTTGCCCTGGCCAGGTGACTCAATTGATTGGAGTGTCATCCTGTACACCAAAAGGTTTCAAGTTCAATTCCTGGTCAAGGCACATCTGTAGGTTATAGGTTTAAATTCCACTTGGGGCAGGTAGGAGAGGCAACTGATCAATGTTTCTCTCACATCAATGTTTCTCTCTTTTTCCCTTCCTCTCTCTAAAATCAATAAACATATCCTTGGGTGAGATTAAAAAAAAAAAGTTCAAACTCTTCACCATTTTGCTATAGTTTTACAAAATTGGGCTTGTAAATTTGTATATTTACAAAATAGTCCTGCTATTTTAAATACTTAACATATTAAGTTAGATTTACTTGAATTTATGAAAAAAGAGAAATTAAATAAATCTAAACAAACTTTGAATGTTAGCTAAACATTTCTGACATGACCGCCCTCTTTTCAATGATCCCTTTGAAGATAAACATTATGAAAAACATAAAACAATTGGAAGCATGTACACACCTTGTATGACTAAAAATTAAATAATTCTGATTTTTTAAAAAAAAATCAAGACTTAACTAAAAAAACTGGGGAGACAGACTATGTTCATGAAATAGAAGACTCAACATAGTTAACATGTCAATTCTCCCTAACTGCATACACAGATTTAATTCAATTTCTATGAAAATTCTTTCAAGATTTCTTGTATAGACAAGATTATTCTAAAACGTATATGTTAAGGTGAATGAACTAGAATAGCTTGACAATTTTTTTAAAAAGAAGAATAAAGCAGGAGGAATCAGACTATGTGAATTTAAGATATCTTATAGTGACTGAAATCAAGACTATATAGTACTGGAGTACAAGGCTCATGGACCAATAGAACAGAACAGACAACCGAAAAATAGATATTTGATAACTGTACAATGTCAAATATCAACTGATATTTGTATAAAAGCAGCTGAGTGGAGGAAAGATAAGACTTTTCAATAAATGTTGCTGGGAACTCTAGGCGAAAAATAAGTAAGTAAGTAAGTAAATAAATAAATAAATAAATAATAAATTTTAAAAAATTAAAAAAAAAAATCTTGACCTAAATCTCACATCTTATACAAAAATTAACTCCAAATGAACCTTGGACTTAAATATAAAATATGCAACTATAAAACTTTTAGGGGGAAAAAAACCCACAAAAGAAAATATTGATCTAGAACTAGGCAAAGAATCCTTAGACTTGACAGCAAAAGCACAATCCAAAAAAGGGAAAGATTAATAAGTTGGACTTCATTAAAATTAAACTTGTGCTCCACAAAAGACACTACTGAGAGACTAAAAAGACAAGCTAGCCCTAACCGGTTTGGCTCAGTGGCTAAAGCGTCGGCCTGCGGACTCAAGGGTCCCAGGTTCGATTCCAGTCAAGGGCATGTACCTTGGTTGCGGGCACATCCCAGGTGGGGAGTGTGCAGGAAGGCAGCTGATCGATGTTTCTCTCTCATCGATGTTTCTAATTCTCTATCCCTCTCCCTTCCTCTCTGTAAAAAATCAATAAAATACATTTTTTTTTAAAAAAAAGATAAACTGGAAGAAAATATTTGCAAACTACATATTTAACAAAAGAACTAGTATTTAGAATATATAAAGAATTCTTAAGCCTAGCTGGTTTGGCTCAGTGGGTAGGGCGTCTGCCTGCTGACGGAAAGAGCTCCAATCAATGATTCCCTCTCATCAGTGATGTTTCTACCTCTCTCTCTCTCTTCTTTCCTCTCTGAAATCAATAAAAACGTGTATTTTTTTAAATCATGCAGAGAGAAAGTAGAATAGGTTGCTAGGGACTTAGGGGGGAGGGGGAGAGCAACAGGGAGTTATTGTATAACTAGAGGCCCGGTGCACAAAAATTTGTGCACTGGCGGGGGGGGGGGGGGTCCCTCAGCCCGGCCTGTGCCCTCTAGCAGTCTGGGACCCCTCAGGAGATAACCACCTGCTGGCTTAGGCCTGCTCCAGGGTGGCAGAGGGCAGGCCCAATCCCTAGGTGCCTGCCCTGCAGCCCCTGGTCGG